AGGAGGCTGGATGGGTTTACCCGTTTTGTGGATCTCTGGAGGGAGTTTTAGAATTCCTCTCCTCGGTGTCTCTCTTCCTGACTGTGGCCTTCAGTCACCTGTGAGCCCAGCATGGGGAGCTGAGTGCAGGAGCCCTAGATCAGTCACCCGGCTTCACTCGGTGCTCCTTTGACCTCTGCTCCCAGGCCAGCACTAGTTCAGGACCATGGGTGGCTTCTGGCGAGGATGTGGGCAGAGGTGAGTGTTCCCGCACTCACAGCTCACATAGGATAGGAAGAACATCTAAGCTGTTGGCAAGGGCTTATAGGAAATTTGCACAGACTGAAGAGGAAGACATTCAGGCAGAAGTCTGTGCACCGGCCGGGCAGCAGGACAGCAGACACATTGAGGGCGCTTGAGTAGTGGGTAGAGCTGACAAGAAAGGGGCGGGTGTGTAAGTGGGGAGGGAGGCAGGCAATGAGTGTGCAATGGCAGCCAGCATCCCCCTCCCCACCCCTGCTCCTGGGCAGTTCCCCCTATATGTCTGCTGCTTACTCATTTGAGGTCCTAGCAAATGCCTCTGGTCATGACAGGCATGGTTCCACATTTCTTTTATTTCTATATATATAATTTTTTTTTCTTTTCAGCATAACAGAATTCATTGTTTTTGCACCACACCCAGTGCTCCACGCAATATGTGCCCTCCTCAATACCCACCACCTGGCTCCCCAACCTCCCACCCCCTGCCCGTTCAAAACCCTCAGATTGTTTTTCAGAGTCCACAGTCTCTCATGGTTCACCTCCCCCTCCAATTTCCCTCAACTCCCTTCTCCTCTCCATCTCCCTATGTCCTCCATGTTGGTTTCCCATTTCTAATTCCTGTGAATCAGGACCCCTCTCCTACTTCATCCCTACCACAGTATCCTTGGAGGGCGTCTGTGCCATGCAGGTCAAAGCAAAAGGGGTGAATACCTGTCAGAGCCCCGTGAGTGAAGTTTAGGCTAGGTGTGAGGCAGCAGGGCACGGTGAGGACTGGGGAGAGGTGGCGGGTGCTGGACGATCGTGGGCACAGATGCCACTGGACTCCGCCAATGTTGGTGTTTCAGAATTCAGGCCTAGTGCCTCCAGATCTTTGGAATTTTTTCAAGAGAAGCTGGAAATCCAGATTTTCATGTGAGATCTCTTGATTTTATTTTTTTTTAATATTAAAACATTTTTTTATCATGTTATGTTAGTCACCATAAAATATATCATTAGTGTTGATGCAGTGTTCCAAGATTCATTGTTAATCTGATTTTAAATAACTACTATTAAAATGGTGCACACATCTCCGTAGCTGAACAAGAGCATTTGGACCCGTGCGGCCTGTTGAGTGTATGTAGGTGGTTGGGCCCTGAGTGTAGGGAGAGGGAACAGTGACTCTGTGTCCCTGGCACCAGCTCAGGCCACTCTCAGGCTGGGCAGAGAGGCCAGGACACTGTTAGTGACGGGCCCTGGGGTGGCCTCAGAGAGGCTTCCCCGAGCTGCCCCAGGGAGCCCACAAGCAGTCTGATGGCAGCTTCAGCCCCTGCACTCAGTGCTGTTGACTGGCCCATCAGGCCTCACGCCTGTGGCCAGGGTCACTGCCCCCCCTCCCGCCGCCAGTCCCAGGAGGCAGACAGCTTGTCCTCCCATGTCCTATTGTAGTCTCTTCCTTAGCTCTGCCTGCTGCCCAGTAACCATATCCTTGGGAACTGCTGGTCAAGACTGGGGAAACAGGACTCAGGACTGGTAGGGGGTAGTATCCAGGCACCAGCGTGGGTGGGGAGCAGCAATGTGGCCTAGAACATTCTCTAGGCCTGGAGGCAGCCTGCGTGGGTTTTAACCTTGACCCTGTCACATGCTGAGTGACTCTGGGTGTGCTCTTAAAGTCGTTGGCCTCCCAGGTGTCTGAAAAATGGGGAGGTGCTTAGGGCAGCACCTGGCACCGTGAGTCTCCCTGTTAGCTGTGTCAGTGTCCTCTCCGCACGCACGCACATGCACGGCCGTGCATGCCCCAGTCCACCTACAGGCACACACATGCACACACGGCTCCCTATAGCGTTGATGGCATCCCTGAGTGCACTCCACACGGGCATGTCTTCTAGAAGGAAGGAGTCTCACCCCCAGAGTCTGTATGCTTTGTCCTTGGGTCAGGCAGGAGGAGAAGGAACCTTGACTGAGTCCTGCTCTATGCCAGGCCCTGCATTAGGGATGGATGGATTTTATTTCAAGCTAGCCACTGTGTGGGGAGCTGAGCAGGTGCCCAGAGTCCTGCCAGTGCTCGGTGGCAAGGGAGGGATTGAACCCTCACCTGACTGGTTCCCCATCCTGGGCTCGGTAGCCACATGCCTGGACAGAGTGGGGTTCTGGCATCATGCCCCTGGGGTACCCCCAAAGCCACCCTGTGGGGAAGGTCTCTGCATCACCCATGCCTATGGAAGATGTTGGGCAGTTGAAAATCCTCATAGAGCTTAGGGCTGGGAGAAGTATGTTTATCCTGTGACGGTCACCAAGGGGCGCGGGGAGAGTGCGCGCACGCTTGCTTTATGGATCTCAGCAGCTTCTGCGTTTTGCCTGGACTGCCAGGAACCTCTCAGCCGGCTGAATATTTAGTTGTTGTAGGCCTCGTCAGTCCAGAGTGCCTCTACTTCTTCCTCTCTCCCTCCAACCCTCATTTGCTTTCCGGTCCTGTATTAAATGCTTTGGATCTCTTGCTTCCTGATTTTTTTTTTTTTTTTTTGCAAACGTTTTTGAAATGCAGCATACAGGAAAGTGTATAAATCACAAGTGTACAGTTTAATGATTTCTCTCAAAGTGAACATAGCTGGGTAAGCAGTGCCCAGGTCCAGAAACAGCACATCCAGTGCCCCTTTTAGTCACTGACCCTCAGGGTGACCGTGTCCTGCTCTTGTGTTGCACGTTACATGGCTAGAGTCATGCCGTGGGTACTCTAGGTCTGGTTTCTGTTCAGTTATTTTTTTTTTTAACTTTTTAAAAAAGAACTATTATTATTTGAGAGAGGGTGTGCACACAAGAGTGGGAGGGGCAGAGGGAGAGGGAGAGAGAATCTGAGGCAGACTCCCCACTGAGGACGGTGCCAGACACCGGGGCTCGCTGAAACCAAAAGTCAGATGTTTAACTGACTGTGCCACCCAGGCATCCCTTTTTTTTAAAAAACTTTTGAAAAATTGTTGGTAAGATAGAACTAAGATAATGTTGACCATCTTAGCCATTTTTAAGTGTACAGCTCAGTGGCATGAAGTACATTCGCTGTCCCACCATCCAGCTCCAGAACTCCTTCATCTTGTATAACTGAAACTCCGGCCCCATCCTCCAGGCCCTGGCAACTACCATTCTCCTTCCTGTCTTTAGGAATTTGTTATTCTAAGTACCTCACAGAAGTGAAATCATACAGTATTTCTGTTTTTGTGGCCGGCTTATTTCACTGTCACAATGTCCTTGAGGTTTATCCAGTGTAGAATGTCCATTTCCTTTTTGTTTTTAAGGCTGAAGAATATTCCATTGCACGTATGTACCACGTTTTGTTTATCCATGTATCTGCTGATGGACACTTGGGTTGTTTCTGTCTTTGGATTTTGTTTTGCTTTGCTTTTTTTTTTTTTTTTTTAAAGATTTTATTTATTCATTTGACAGAGAGAGAGATCACAAGCAGGCAGAGAGGCAGGCAGAGAAAGAGGGGGAAGCAGGCTCCCCGCTGAGCAGAGAGCCCGATGCGGGGCTCGATCCCAGGACCCTGAGATCACGACCTGAGCCGAAGGCAGAGGCTTTAACCCACTGAGCCACCCAGGCGCCCCTGCTTTGCTTTTTTAAAGCAAGCCCTATGCCCAACATGGGGCTTTGAACTCATGACCCTGAGAAAAGGAGTCACTTGTCCTACCAACTGAGCCAGACAGGTGCTCCCTACCTTTTGGAATATAATCCATAATATACTGTGAACATGGACATACAAACATCTGTTCAAGTCTTTGCGTTGCGTTCCTTTGGTTCTGTACTAGGACGTGGAATTGCTGGGTCGTAGGGTAATTCTGTTTTACATTTTTGAAGCCATGTGCCTGTTTTCCATAGTGACTGCACCATTTTCATTCCCTTCAACACCGCACAAGGGTTCCAGTCTTTCCACATCCTCGCCAATACTTGCTGTTTTTGCTTTGATAGCAGCCATCCTTTTTTAAGATTTTTTTTGTTTATTTGACAGAGATCACAAGTAGGCAAAGAAGCAGGCAGAGAGAGAGGAGGAAGCAGGCTCCCTGCTGAGCAGAGAGCCCGATGCGGGGCTCGATCCCGGGACCCTGGGATCATGACCTGAGCCGAAGGCAGAGGCTTTAACCCACTGAGCCACCCAGGCGCCCCAGATAGCAGCCATCCTAACGGGGTGCAAGTTGGTGCCTCACCGTGGCTTGACTTGCATTGTCCTAACCCTCCAGGGTGCTGAGCCATGTTTTCCCATCGGCGTGTCATCTGTCTGGTTGTGTGAGCTGCGCGCCGCCATCTGTTCTTATCACTGTCTGGTTCTGCACAGTAGGAGTAGACCGTGGCACACCCACTCATTCTACTGCTGAGGAGCATTAGCAGCTGGTTCCCCATTTGAAGGGATTGCGAAGAGTGCTGCTAAGAACATTCTAGAGTGCATCTTTTGGGGGAAATGGTCCTGGGTTTTTAAATGTAAGCCACGCCTCTTTGGAGGTTAGTGTGGCATAAACAAACCAACCAATAAAATGCATAATTCCTGTTTCCTCATGGCCGGTAAAAGTTCCTCAGACTTAAATTCTGTAGCACAGGACAGGCCCTCAGGTTCCCTGTCGCAGGTGGCCCAGGGTCCAGCTGTCTGGTGTGTGCCCTCCCAGATTCTGATTCGCTTCCTCGGGAAAGAGCCACCTTGGGCCCTGACCACGCCCTCTGTCCCCCATTGTCCCAGGTGCCCTTCCCCCCACTGCTGAGCTGGCTCGCTGAGGGCCTGACCAGCTCCCCTCTGTGCCCAGGGATCTTTGGGCAGCGCCTGGAGGACACCGTCCACCACGAGCGGAAGTATGGCCCCCGTCTGGCCCCCCTGCTGGTGGAGCAGTGCGTGGACTTCATCCGGGAGCGCGGGCTCACCGAGGAGGGCCTGTTCCGCATGCCGGGCCAGGCCAACCTGGTGAGGGACCTGCAGGATTCCTTTGACTGTGGGGAGAAGCCACTGTTTGACAGGTGAGCTCCCGGGGGAGAGCGGCAGAGACGGGATCCCCATCCGTCCCACGCTGCGGGGACTCGTCCCAGGACTCAATCTCCAGGCAGCAGATGTGGGCTGGCATCCAGGAAGCCTGGCGGCAGGATGGTGGGTGGCATGGCTCCCCACAGCAGCACACGTGCTCAGTCCGCTCCCCCCGCCCCTAGTCCCCATGGTCAGAGCACGGGACATGGAATCTTGGCAGCAGCCCGGGGCCTCCTCTCAGGGCTGGACCCTGTCACTGGCAAGGCGCACCCATGTCCACGTAGGCTGTTGCCCCAGGGGATGTGTGTAAACCTTTGGGACTCTTGGCCTCCTGCAGGGCCTCCCTCTTGGCTCTGCCTCCTTGGGGTGACCCATCCCCGGGCCCCTTCAGTGGCAGCATGGAGCAGCAGCTCCCCAGTCTCCTCCACCTATCCTGGCCCAGTGCCCGTCCTAACCTATCGTGGGCTTCCCAGGTCCGGGCTTCACTGTGTGGGTAGAGTCCACTTCACTGAAGAGCCCAAGGACCATGACCCTGGAGGTGGGGCTACTTTGGGGCTCTTCTCCCTGACGGGACCTCTCCCATTAAAGCAGGCTTCATAGGAAGTTCTTCCTGCGTCAAGCCCACCTTGGCCTCCATGGAGCTACCCTTTCTTCTCAGATCTACCTTCACAGTCAAGGCCCTCCTCTGCCCCCAGGATAAACCCAGGGGCTCCTACTGGCAGCCCCAGACTTCCCAGCTCTTCTTTTGGTGCAGAGCACCCTTGTGCCTCCAGCTTCTGCCAGGACCCATCACTGTAGCTTGGAGGGTCTGTCGGTAGATGTGGAGCCTGGGACTGACCCCATTCCCAGGGGAGGTCCACCCTTAGGAAAGAAGAGCTATCGAGGAATGGAAGCGTTACCTTGCAGGCAGAGAAACTGGGACTCTCAGGTTAGCCACCTCTCTCCCAAGTCACACCTACAGTAAGGGCAGGAGCTGATTTGGGCCCCTGGGCTGCCCTCCTTGCCTGTGCATCCTGTCTCCTTTCACCACATGCACTGAGCCTGATCCTGGGGGAAGGAGTGGGACAGGTGATGGCACCTGCCCTAGAGGGGCTTACAAGCTGGTGGGCATCACAGAGCTGTGGGCTGCAGAGCGTTTTCCTTAGGTGCTAGGGTAAGGTGCCTGGATTTAGGATAAGTGTGTATAGGGGGGGCGGGTGGGGGTAGGGTTCAAGTACCACCAAGAAAGCCTTAAACCACCATTTAAAGGGAGAGGCTCTGCAGTGAGTAGGGAAGGAAGGAGAGATTGAGGAAGTGGGTTTCTAGGCAGGGAGGAAAGAAGGCCCGGTACCCTGACTGCCTTGCCAGGCTCCCTAAACCAGGGTGGGGCAGAAGATCTGGATATAACTGGCTGCAGGGACCTGTGGGCCAGGGGGCTATGAACTGGTGCTGCTGCACAGGGTAGGGGCCAGGAGCACTGAAAGGTGAGGGCCTGGAGGAGCCACGGTGGTGCTCCAGCCAGTGAGGCTGGCAGAATGGAAGGGTGGGAGGGCTGCTCTGAGTCCACTTCCCCGGGACGGAAAAGCTTTCACCTCCCTGCCAAAGGGAGACTTATCAGCAGGGCCTAGGCCACACTTCTCTCACTGCCCTTGTCTCCCCGGGCACAAGCCTACAGATCCTCCCTGCTTCCTGTCCCTTCCTCCAGCCTCCTGGGGCTCTAGCTCCGGCAGTGGCCGGCACTGAACCCACAGTGTTCCAGCGGTGGGTGGGGGATGGAGACTGGGTTCAAGCCTGGGCACCCCCAGGGGCTGTGAGCACCCAGGAAGTGGGGGGTGTTGGTGAAGGAGGTGAGGAGGCCTGGGGGAAGCAGTGGAGGGCATGGGCAGCAGCATGGCTGGCTGGAGAAGGTTAGAAGGAGCAGAGCCAGGGGCCATGTGGCCAGGCCAGACTGAGAGCCACCAGACCTGAGGCAGGGAGGGGCCCTAGGTATGTGGTCTGAAGTATATATGGTGTATTGATCCACAGAATCCGAAATGCTGTAGCCAGAAGAGACCCTAGGGATTAACTCAGTGAGACCAGCTGTGGACAGCAGGGCCACGTTCTCCTGGCCCCAGGCTCACCTTTCCTGAGCGCCTGCTGTGAGGGAGATGCAGTCTCAGGGTTTAAATCCAGGGCCCTAGGAAAGCAGATGAAATACCCGGGACCCAGGCTGATCCAGGAAGGTGAGCTTAGAGGAGGTGCCAAGACTGCAGTCTAGGATCTGGACCCAGAGGCCAGGAGGCCCAGGGCTGCTGCCCTCCACTGGGGGATAACCAGCCTGGGCAGCTCCAAGCTGGGGCACAGGAGACTGAGGCCTCCAAGGGGACACGCAGGGCACTGGGGCACTAGAAATAGTGTGATGAACACAGAAGCCCAGGCGTCTATAATGTAAATAGGAACCCGGAGGCTGAGGGAAGGGGCCTGACCTCTGACCTGCCTGGCCCCCAGTGGCCAGTGCCCAGTGATGCCCGCTCTTTCCAGGAGCTCAGCAGGCCAGCATGGCAGGTTCCTTTGACATGGCCCCACACCTGCCATTGGTGAGCCATTCTGGGGGTGGGGGGAGTAAGCTCAGTCTCCCCATCATCCACCCCTGCTGGGAGCAGAGCTCTTCTCATGTTGTACTGCACAAGGGCAACCACCAGGCCAGCAGAAGGGGACCCTTCACTCATCCAGCTCCCTGGCTAACTGGACACATTGAGCACACACGTGGACATGAGTGCGGAGGCTGCCCCTGGGGGAGGGTCACAAGGTGCTGGCCACTTCTGGTGTCCCAGGCCTCATGCACATCCCCCTGCCCACAGCACAACAGACGTGCACACGGTGGCCTCTCTGTTGAAGCTCTACCTGCGGGAGCTCCCCGAGCCTGTGGTCCCCTTCGCCAGGTATGAGGACTTCCTCAGCTGTGCCCAGCTGCTCACCAAGGACGAGGGGGAGGTTAGTGGCTCCTGGGGACCCATCCTGGGAAGCGGGCCTATTGGGAGGTGGGTGTATGGAGCAGGGTACAGACGTTTAGTGACTTTCATAGCCCATAGATCCTGGCCTATATCCTGCTCTGTAAGATGGGAGACCTTGACCCTCCCGCTCTGAAGGGGGCCTGGAGCAGCCTGCTCTGTATATGGGTGGGTGCCTGGAATGTCCCCTGTCTGTGTATGGTCTGCTCTGTGTGCAGACCTCAGTCCCTGGGAGGAGCAGCTACCTCCTAAAGCAGGCCAAGTTCCAGTCATGGTTGGGGGCCTGGGCCCAGGTGTGGGCCCCCACATAGTAGGGACTCCTGCTAAACTACCCAGCTCAACCTCAAGCTACCCAGGCAAGCCACAGGGTTCAGAAACCACCAGACCTTTCATCTATTTATATCCTGCCTCCTCCCAAAAGAATTTGAGACTGCTTCCAGGACAGAGGGCTCCCACGCCTACCCTCACCCTCTCCTGTAGGTGCCTGCCTGCAGCCCTAAGCCAGCTTTGGCTAGAGAAGGACTCTTTGCCGACCTTCGGCCTTGTGGGAGATGAGGGTCCTTACCTGGCAAATATTTGTGCCCCTGTAAGTGTGCTGAGCTGTGGCCCTGACATTCCTCCTTGACCCTGCAGAGGCATACCCTTCACATCAGTTTCCCAAAAGTAAATTGCTTTCCCAAGACTGGTGTCGCCGCTCCTCAGAGGGAGGTGGAGGCGGTGGCACCTTCTGGCCATGTGGGGCCTGGCGGCAGGGGCCTTGGTTAGAGGTCTGGACTCAGATTTCCTGTCCCCGCTTCCAGTCCTCCCTCCAGCAGAAGGGCCTGGAGTCTCACTGCTGGCCCTTGAAATGCTGTTTTTCTCTTTCAATCCCAAGGGGACACTGGAGTTGGCTAAGCAAGTGAGCAGCCTTCCCCTGGCCAATTACAACCTGCTCAGATATATCTGCAAGTAAGTGACTAGGGGCGGGAGCTTCCCTTCCCAGAGGGATTCTCCGTCATTCTCCCACCCCACACTCCTCTCCCTGTGTTGATGGAGCCAGCGAAAAGCATGAAAGAACACAGCCCCTGCACTCCGGGGGCTTACGGTCCCCATGGGAGCAGGCAGTGTTATAGTCCCTAGTGTATATTCCTGAAGAGAAGGGACATACCGTGTGTCCCTTCAGCCTTCTCTGGGTGCCTCTCGCTGTCCCATCCCCCAGGGGTCTGTGTCCCAAGCACAGTGGCCTCGACCCAGGTGCCTGGAACATCCAGGAGAGGACCTGCAGTGTAGCCCTCACCTTGCCCCACGTCTGAGGCATCTTGGCCTTCTTGGGCATCTGTCCCCACTGCAGGTGAGAGCTGTGTGTCCTGTTGCCACACTGACAATAGGCCCTTGTCCCACTGGCCTCTGCTTCTGATGGCCGTCTCCTAGCCCTCAGAGGGGTTAGCTCTGCCCTCTTCAGAGTTGGCTACAGGCAGCTGGCTGTGCCCAGCAGCCGTGGACACATGTGGACGTGGCTGGGCATGAAAGCCGGGCAGCTTCAGCAGATCTGGCTTCAGCTTTGCTTTTCCGCCAGCTGCTTCTTCCTTACTGTACAGGTTTCTGGATGAAGTCCAGTCGCACTCAAATGTCAACAAGATGAGTGTCCAGAACCTAGCAACCGTTTTTGGACCCAACATACTTCGGCCACAGATAGAAGACCCGGTAACCATCATGGAAGGTAATGGCGGAGGGGTGCATGGCAGTGCTGGGTGCTGCCCAGTCTGGCCTCCCCTTGGTCCTGGAAGGGTCCTCAGAAGCATCACCCTGCATCAGTCCGTCCAAGGGCCGGGCTGGTGGGAAGGGGATCTGTTCCAGGGGAGCCTCCCTTCCCCCCCACCAACCCCATGGGGTCCAGCTTGAAAAGAAAAGGAACTTTGCCCTGTGGAAGGGGTCACTGAGAGCAATTAGAATGGTGGGAGAGGCTGGGGGATGGAAGAGGTCAGTGCCCTTGCCCTTGAATACACACTGATGTTTTGGCTTTCCTTAAGTAAATGTTAAGTAGTTGTCACAGTCTCCTGGATGTCAGAGCTGTACCCTGGTGTATAAATAATGATAATAAACAGCAGGAGCAGCTGCGTGCGATAGGCGAGGGCCTGTAGGAGCATCACCTCACTGTCAGCTTCACGGGCTCATGATGCGGTTATTACACCTACTTCGCAGATAGGGAAACTGAGGTCAGGAGAGGTAAGGTGACTCAGCCAGGTTTATCAAAGCCGTTGGTCCAGGCTGGCCCAGAAGCTAGAGCCCACGCTCAGAGGGCCTGTGGAAGACTGTCCTGGCGTGGTTAGTCGGGGAGTCCTGCTGCCACAGATGGGAGCCCCGCAGCCAGCACCAGCTGAGGTATGCAGAGGCTGGCGGGCACTCACGCAGCACGGAGCCAGCTGGAGCCGCTGCCAGGCGAGCTGAGGCCGGAGTTGCCATTCCTTGCTGAGCATGACCTGGAAGAGAGGAGTGTGGGGGTGGGCTATGGAGCTCTGTGTCTGCCTGGGGTGTGGCTCTTGGGGTGGCACTCTCCTTCAGATCCCCCCCTTGGCCTGCCTAGCTCGGTCTCATCCCAGGCCCCCCAGGTTCTCAGCCTGCCAGGTTGAACAAACGCCCAACAGCAAACACTGAGTTCCTGCTTCATCCAGTTTTCTGGCTAAGGATTCTTATTTTTTCCAGGATTCTTAGTTACCTCCAGTGGGAGGGTCCACCCAGCCACCCCTCCTTCCTTATCCCCTGGAAAACTTCCCAGGCTCTGGTCTTTGGTGGAGGGTAACAGGAGGGAAAAAGGCAAGCGGATAGGTACTGTGCTCCCATTGTATTGACCCCCCCCCTTCATTGCTGACCCCCAACCCCCTCGGGCAGGAACCACAGGCACCACAGGCTGCATCTCAGGGTGCCGCGGCCTGGAGAAGAGGTATTGTGTGTGTGTGTGTATGTGTGTGTGTACGTACGTGTGAGAGAGAGTAGGGTCAGGGGAGAGTGGGTTGTACATGTTGGGGACTGCATACATTCGTGTGTTGTGAACACGTATGTGGGAGTGTGTGTGTGTGTGTGTGTGTGTGTGTGTGTGTGTGTGTGTGTCCAATTGCACCTGTAAGCCATCTCTGTCCCTGACCCAGAGCCTTGTGCTGCCCACTGTGTGGACAGTCACACACAGCCCCCTTTGGCAGTACAGGGAAGTGACATGGGGCAGCTGAGAAGGCTGTGACGTCTAGGTCCCGGTTTCCAGGGCCAGACTGCCACTGGCTCGCTCTGCGTCCCCTGTGGGCATAGTGCCTGCTTCTTCCCTACACCCAGTGGGATACAGCGGGCTGCAGGCACAGTGCCCTGTCTGTGTCCAAGGAAGGGGATGTGGGATTTTTTGTCTGCACTAGATTTGGAGGGTGTGGTGGCTGTCCTTTCCTTTGGAGGCAGATGTCAAGCTCTGGCTAAGTTCTCTTCTGAGGTGCAGCCTGGTTCCAGACTGCGGCCACCATGGGTTGGGCCTGGTCTAGAGAGCCTGGACTGGAGACATTCACAGCCAGGCTTTCTCACTTGGTCTTCTTGGCAGGCACTTCTCTGGTCCAGCACCTGATGACCGTCCTGATCCGCAAACACAGCCAACTCTTCACTGCGAGGGCCGAGGAAGAGCTGACCTCCCCGCGTGGCGGCCCACCGTGCACTGTGGGATGGGGCTCTGAGGAGGGCCCGAGGGATGGCCAGCCGGAACCCAGCAGCCCCAGCAGCCCTAGCAGTCCTGGCCTGCCATCACACAGGACCTCGTCTCTGGATGGGGCCACTGTGGCAGCGCTGTCTAGAACCTCCCCCACGGGCCTGGGTACCCGAGGCAGCCATGCTGCCCCCAGCCCTGGGAAGAAAGTGCAGACTCTGCCCAACTGGAAGTCTTCCTTCTGGCAGTCAGGGTCCCGTTCGGGGAGCCCAAAGGCGGGCAGCTCATCCCTGGAGGTGCCCATCATCTCCTCTGGAGGGAACTGGCTCATGAATGGACTGTCCTCCCTGCGCGGCCACCGCCGGGCCTCCTCGGGAGAACGGCTCAAGGACTCAGGCTCTTCACAGAGACTCTCCACTTATGACAACGTGCCCCCACCCAGTGGCCTCTTCCCCAGCACCCCCAGTGTGGCCAGCACAGTGTGGTCGGGTGCCTCCTCTTGCGAGGCATCGACCAGGGGCTCAGTCAGCAGCTGCACAGCCTGCCGGGCCAGTGACTCGTCTGCCTGCAGCTCCCTGCACACTGAGGGGGCCCTTGAGCCTTCCCCTTTCCCCAGTAGCAGCGAGGACCGCAGATCCCCAGACCTGGGCCACAGCCTGGACGAGGTGGGCACCTGCAGCAGCGAGCCCAGCGACCCAGGCAGCCCCAACCAGGACTATGCCCGCTGCTCTGAGGCTCTCCAGGGCCTGGTCACAGAGCTCAGGGCGGAGCTGTGCCGGCAGAGGACTGAGTACGAGACCAGTATAAAAAGGTAAAGGGCTGCAGCCACGGGGCAAGTGCGAGGCTGGCACCCCTGGGGCCGGGCAGAGCCCTTGTGGCCAGCAGCTCACAGGACACTGGCCCTGGTAGTCTGCCTCTGGTCATGGCCTCTGGCTCTGATAGAAAGCCTCTCTGAGGCCAGGCTCAGAGCAGCCAGTCCCAGGAAGCCACTTTTTTGGGACAGTGCCCCCAGAACAGGGCTGGGAATGGAGGGGTGGGGGTCCTCTGTCTGGAAAAGCTCGGGAGCTACAGGGCCTGGCGTGCTGTCAGAGCTCCGTAAATGCCTGCTGAGTGAGTGAGAATCCCAGCCTGTGCTGCTCTGAGCACCTTTAATGGAGGGGCTCAGCATGGAGGTCCCTGTGTGGCCCTCAGGGAGGAGACAGGCTCCCTGAGGTGTGCAGAAACCTGAGGAAGTGCCCACGTGCAGTGCAGACCCCAGGCCAGCCTGGCTGGTGGACCATGGTTGGGCCTGATAAGGGAATAAGGACTTCTTCCAGGATTGTAATCCTATTTCCTAGGAGGAAGGAGCTGGCTGTGCTGAGCCCTGCCCTCCTGCCTTCCCTGGTCACAGGAGGATGCCTTGTGCCATATCGTTTTTGCTCACAGATGGTCCTGGTTTGATCCTTCCAGCCTCCCTGGGAGGAGGGTGTTTTCCAGCTCTGAGGCACCAGGTTCTCCAACCAAGGTCACCAGCAGCGCCTGAATGGCCAGTGTGCAGTGCTTCTACCAGCTTCTCAGGCTTCTCAGCCCCTGGCCCCAGCTGTCTGACCTATATATCAGGCCCCGCCCACTAGCAGAAGGTGTTTGTGGGCTCTGACATCCTCCTTTCCTCATCAGAGATAGTGGAGGTGGAGGGGGTTCCTGCTTCTCACTCGGAGACTGGGATTTCTACAGGGAGCTGGAGGGGCAGTGTTTGGCCCTTTTGCTCTGTAGGAGGTCAGGGAGGGTCACCGCAGGCGATGTCTAAGCCAGGAGTTGAAGGACCAATAGAATTGGACTGAGCAAGGAGAAGGAAGGACGCATCATGAGTAAAACTATGAGGTACACAACTGGGGGGAAACCCCACAAATGTGAGCACTGGGTTGGAATTTACCAGCCAGAGGAACAGTGGAACACCCTGCAGATACAGAGAAAGATGATTACAGCTGAAGATGAGCTCACAGACAAAAACTACAGAATATGTGAGAGGTATTACCAGGCGAAGGCTGTCCTCACACAGCCTCAGAAGAGGTCAGAACCAGCTTCTCACTTCTTTACCTGTTTGTGGAGCCAACTTGAGCTTCTAGTTCTCTCATCTTCTCAGAAGCTTGGTCTCTCAGGGGAAAATGCATTGTTGTTCCATGGGGGGGGGGCTCTGGATAAGACTGCCTGGGGTCGAGTCCCTGCCCCCTGTGCACTGGCTGAGCATCCCAGGCAGCCTCTCTGATTCCAGTGTGTACTGGCCAAATGTCTGTGTGGGCAGGCTCTCTGGGCTCGGGGCACTGCACCCATCTGTCCTGAGGATTGAGTGCCACAGTGGGTGGCAGTGCTGAGCGCAGGGCCCAGTGCATCCAGAGTGCTCAGGAACTTTCACTGCTCACACTCCCTCTTGCTTGGGGGGCTGGAGGTAAGACAAAGCTCACAGAAGCAAAGGGACAGCGGTGTCAGCCCCTGTAGTCCCCTCACTGGCAGGGTGGTCTAAGGAGAGAAGGGTCTGTCGGAGCACAAGAAAGAATGAAGCCCCATCCAGTGGGTCTTTGGGGAATACAACTGCACACAGCAGTCAGTCAGCACTGGTCTGGTCTGGGGGGTTGGGGGAAACCAGCTTTCTGCCCTGCCTCCCAGGACTCAGAACCCCTCCCCTGTGCCAATTCCTGTATTCCTAAAAGAGAATGCACTGAGTGTCTATGATGTGCAGACACTGTATAAGATGCTAGGGACACAGCCAAGACCAAAGCTGATCAAAACTTTTACTCTCATTCTTATTTGGTGGTATTTGGGGGTTGGAGGCGGAGAGACACCAGAAACGAGACAGATTTTAAAAATCTGTGGTATGTGAGAAGGTTCGATAAAGGAGAACAAAGCAGGGTGAAGGGAAGGGGACCATGGTGGGGAGAGGGTTGGAAGGCTGGGCTGAGCCAGAAGGAAGCCTGGGGCAGAAGCCCAGGGGCTGTGGTGAGAGAGGCATGTGGAAGAAAGTGGGGATGAGGGGAGTGTGAGAAAGGGGGGTGGAGGGCAGAGTGTGGAGCTCCAGACATGTGAGTAGCATCAACCTCAGAGGCAGCAGTCAAGGTAGAGAGAAGAGCCAGATTCTGAACATATTTGGAGGGTGTTGCTAATTGGCCAGACATGGGGGTGAAAGAAAACCGACTTAAGAGAACTTTTTGTTTTGGAGTAACTGGAAGGAGTTCACTGAGTGGGACACCAGGGCTGCTGCAGTGGTTTGGAGAGGTAGGGTCAGGAGCCATCTGTGGGCCCGTTAAGGTGCAATGCTTATGGAGTTTCTGAGTGGAGTTGAGGGAGATAGAGGCTGAGGGGTCGTCAGCACGGAGATGATGCTTTGGGTCTGGAGACTGGATGATGTCACACGAAGAACCACAGAGAGAGAAGACAAGGGGCCCAGGCCTGAGCTTGAGAGGGCCAGGACAGAGAAGGAGCAGCAAAGAGGGGGCTGGAGCCCGAGGAGAAGTAATGGGGGGGGGGGTCTGTGGGGTCCCTGCTGCCACTCACCTTGGCGGTTCTTCTGTGTCACAGCATGTCCCGTGCTCCCCAGATGGAGGGCTGAGGCGCAGGCAGCTTTCCTGCCTCCTTCATGCTTAGTGTTCAGTGACAGGGTGGAGGCCTGGGCCTCATCCTGGACAGGATGAGGAAGGATACTTACTCCAGTTTGCCACAGGACAGGTGGTGCGCTGTACGTGGTCTTCTTTGTCCATTGTAGCTGTAGCTCTTGGGGGAAAGGGCTGGCCCCTGCATTTTTTTTCAGAAAGGATACCAGGACTCAGAACTGTTTGTGTTGCTTCATAAACAGCCAGGCTGGGGCTCAAACTCCAGCGTGTTGGTTCCCAGGGGCTGGGCTCAGCATACCCCAGAGGCCTTCTAGGAAGTAGTCATCTGGTTGAGAAGACGGACGTGCCGGCCTTTGTAGAGTGTGGCGTCAACATCCAGAGAAGCATGTCTGGGGGTGGGGGGCATCCAGAGAAGTATCATGGAGGGTGAGACGTTTGAGCTGGGGCGTGAAGGATAAGGAAGTGGAGGTGACAACGCAAATGGGGTTTCCCCAAGTCACGTAGTGTCTGGCTGGGGTCCGGGGAGCTGTGGGAGGTGGGGTAGCCAGAGGGAGGCTGGAGTATGAGGGGCCTCACAGACGAACAAAGGCAAGGGGACAGTTTCTTACTTCCCTCTCCATTTGGGAACCAGGCCTATTTTCTGCCAGCCAGCGGTCCCTTCCTCAGTGGACTTTATATTTTAGTGAGGACTCAGGGAGGTCCCTGGCCTCGAGTGCCCAAGGGCCAAATGCTGATGCTGGCATTTCTGGATCACAGGCCAAGGGAAGGTGCCCTGGGGATGAGTGCCCAGGTCTGGTGAGGACCTGAGAGGCCTGTGAGGCCTGTCCCAGAGCCAGGTGTGAGCCTGCACGCATCCTGCCCCTCTGCGGGCCGTCTGTCCAGCTCCTTTGGAAGGCGTGCACGCAGGCACGAGTTTGCTGAAACCCAGCTGGCCAAAAGCTAAAACGGTGTCTTTCTTCTTGATTTTAAAGACTTGAAGAAGGTAGTGCCAACCTGAGGAAACGAATGTCACAGCTAGAGGAAGAACTAGACCAGGAAAAGAAAAAGTACACAATGCTGGAAATAAAGCTGAGGAACTCAGAGCGGGCACGGGAAGACGCAGAGAAGAGGAACCAGCTGCTGCAGAAGGAAATGGAGGAGTTTTTTTCAACCCTTGGAAGCCTGACTATAGGAGCAAGAGGTGACAAAGCCCCAAAGTGAAGGAGTAGGAAGAACTCCCGTTAACAACGGGCTCGCCCGCCTCTGAGCAGAGATGGCCATCCGCCTCACGAGGAGCCACAAGGCCCTGCAGCTTGGACCTGGGCTTCTGTGGAGCCAGGAGCTCTGGAGCTAGCTGGAGGGAGGGTTCCCGACACCCCCAGGAGGGACTCTTGGGAGCAGCCTAAGCGCCATGTGGGATCTGGATGCTGCTCAGACCATGTAGGGCCTGGCAGCTGTCAGAGGGGACAGTCCCATGACCATTAAAACAGATGACTCCTGGGATGTGAGTAGCCCACTGGGTTACTTTTTTTGCATTCTTTATTAAATTTGCTGACATAGCATGATGTCTGGATTCCTGACTCCTCCTTTATGGTCATGTAGAATGAAGGTTACCAAATTGTTCGCAGGTTTGGAAGTCCCCAAGGTGTCGGATGGGTGGAATGGCCTGGGGTTCAGAAGTGGGTTATGAACCTCCCTGAGGAACACCCAGTGTTGTCACAGTCACCGAAGCTGGATTTATGCAAATCTATGTTTTACTCCATGTTCTCTGTGTGTAAGGCAAGACGATTTTCCTCAGTCCTTCCTTCCCCTCTGAACCACCAGGGCCTCTGCAGCTGGCATTTGTCCTGGAATCCCTCTCAAGCCTTCCGCCATAACCTGCTCGCTTTTGCTTGGCCCCAGATCTCCAGGGCCAGAGCCTATGAGTCAGAGCTTAGCATGAGCACTCTACACAGCACTTCTCCACCCAGGGTGTGTGTGTGGGGTGAGGTGGCATAGGGCCTGTGTTTAAAGGAAAAGAGAGCCACAGTGATGGGAAGTGCCCTTCCTCGGTCTTCCAGGTGTGCCTCAGGCTACGTGCCCTGTTTCCCTGCAGATTTCCCTCAACCTAGTGCTAGTCCCTCTCCCTTCCGTGCCCATTTTACCGTCCTTCTCCAGTTCATCCTCAGACTTCAAAGCTCCAGCAGGGCAAAGCTTTCAAGAAAGCATGTGGCTGGCCACCACCACAAACGTGGAGGCCTGCGTCAGAGCTCTTAGGGATGGGACTTAAGGAGCAACAAAGAAGTGGCCTCTGAGTGGAGAGCACTGGTATCATTTCACTTGCTCCTGCTCAGTGTCCTTACATACCACCCCTTGCTATCCTGAGCACCAAAGTGCCCCAATTTCTGATCACTATCTCTGGAAAATCCCTCAGGCCCAACCACCCATCCAACTGGAGTTCGGTATAAACTACCGCACTGAGGTTTAAATGCCAGTATCTCGGTGCTCCCAAGAAGAGCTGGCTTCATACCATGAGGTACAAGCCCACAGGCCCAAGCTGGCTGTTAACTCCCACAGTGGTGAGGCAGGCTGACCACGGGCCGTCTGCTGGACCACCCATGGTCTTACCAACTAGGAAGCCAGATGCCTGCCAAGGCCACCCAGCAGCATCAGCAGTCAAGAGTTCTCTTGGGGAATTGTGAGGAAGGGGGTCAGTGGAGAGCAACACCCAGATCTACTCTCAGGCAATCTACAGCAGATGATCTGGTTGACCAGCTTCCCCAGGAGGTAAAATATTGCTCTCCCGTCTATTCAAGGAGAAAGAGAAAAGTAATTGAAGCAGCCGATTCTTCAACAAGATAGGAACTGGTCCCATGCTCAGAGGAGAAACTTTGGCTAGGAGAAGATAGGTGGGAACACCAATGTATTCTTACGGTCCTAGGTTCTCTTACTGCAGTCCTGGAATTCTGCCAACTTTAACTCAGCAAGAAGATGCCACCAAGCTATCAAAGGAGCAGGAAAGACAAAAAGGGTTTCACAAGATGAAAAGGAAAGCTGTCTGTCTTCTCTTAGCCATTCATAGTAGCAAAGGCTCAGCTTCCAGCCAAGGCCTGGCCAAAACCAGCTCATGAACCACATCTGCCACCTGCTGGCAAAACTAGGATCTGCAAATGCAATTTTTCTCCGAAAATGTCAGCAATACTCAGTAAAAATTCTGTCCTCCAGTTTCCATTTAATCAGCACTTTCCATTCTATCTGTAAAACATACGGACTTTTGCCTATAAAGCACACTCAGTACCAGAGCCAATGGGCTTTGGCCTAGTAGCCTGTCTCTAATCCACTTAGGTTTTCCCCAACTGAGGTGCATTTCAACAACCTATTCCCAAACTGCGGATTCAAGTGGTACCTATTAGTGTAATGACATTTCAAATTAAGTGAACTGATGAATTATGAATGTGAAAACATGGGAAATTAATGTTTGGAAGACCCTTGAATTTTTGGAATGCTTTAGAAAGAGCAAGGGCAAGTTGCTAAAAAATTGTTAAACTGCGAATACATCAACCATGCAATAGAAGAAAATTGGCAAAAATCTAGGATTCTGCTCTTAGATTACTTCAAAAGTGCTTTAAAATTTGTGTTTGACTTTAAAGGAAAAACTGGAAATGATAAGTCTCATACTAAAAAAAAAGGAATTGGCTGAAAAATGTCCATTAAAAAAAAAAAAAGAGTACAGTTTTTAGGGCGTGTATGTGTGTGTGGGGTGGTTAGCGAAAGACTCCTTGTTTTACCTGGCTGTTGAACAACGGACCAGTCATGACCACTGTACACACCACATTGTAAAAGGGCTTCTGAATGCAGTCCATGTATCCATGTTCCCAGGCCTGTGGGCAGTAAATGGAGTAATAACATGTTTCATAGATTCCCCTACATTTGATGCAGGGCCCCAGCCCTCTGGAGAGTTCTCCCAATATCCTCTGGTTTTGTCACAAAGGGACGTTTTCTCATTTACATGAGCCAACAGCTAGGTAGATAAGACAACGCTGCTGCCTCTTATACCCTTGTCTCCGCCAAGAGCCCCCACCTTTGCCAGAAATCACTACCCTTCCTACCAAGCCCATGGCTACTATGAGGTGCCCAAACCGTGTGGTGGTTGGTGAGAAAGGAGAGATACAGCTACAGAAAGCTTTCTGCATAGAGCAAAGGGCTTGGGCTGGTTCTGCGCAGCTGGAAGACCTTGGGGAAGTTAAGCTGAGTCTCTGTTCCCTCCTGTCTACAATGAGGATAACCTCAGAGAGTTGTGGCTGCACCCACAGGCCTAAGCGTCTCCCATGTGATTAGGCGGTGTTGTTTTCTGTACTTTAAAGCTGAGTGCTTTGGAAGCACAGAGAGGTTAAGGACCTGGACCACAATCATACACAAGTCAGTGAAGGAGTCAGGCTCCCATCCCAGGGAATCTTAATTAAGAGACTGTCTTCTTAATTACGCATCCAAACTGAAAAGATGCTGGTTTGATAGTTTTACCTCACCCCTATCATGTTTTAAGGAGGTCTGCGCACAGGATGCAAAAGTAGTGCCTCTAAGTCAGACAGAGAGCAGAGGGCAGGGAGTACTCCTGACAGATGGGACACCTCCACTGTTTTGTATGCTGATGTGTGTACCCAGAGCAAAAGGAGTGAATGTGTGTGAGAGAGAGAGAGAGACAGACAGAGACAGAAAGGAGAGGAGCAGGGGAGGATGCAGGGCTAGAAGAGGCAAGGATCTGGTCACAGAGGGTGGGATAGCCTCTCAGACTTCATGCTTTAGGAGAGGATTTCCCTGCTGCATTTATATCCACTACAGAAATCCAAAAGGCTTTTCATTATTGTGGGGATAGGGAACAAGACCTATGTCATGGCTTTCATAGAGCTTACATTCTAGTGGGGTAAATTAGGCCATCAAGAAGTACTAAAAGAAGACAACAGGTCCCAAATGGAGTCACTTACACTCAGCCACATCATCATGGAACCAGGACTTACAGTTTGGGCTTTTCCAGAAATGGAATCTTAAATCAGTCTATCAGTAATCATCTGGTCAGTACTAGTTAGGTCATCTGCCGGACAGACCTCAACCAAACCGGCAAGAAAGCAACCTCACAATAACTAACCTGCTTTTTTGTGTAGTGTAATTTCCTGCTCCCTCTGCCTGTCAAAGTTTTTCATTTTGTATAGCTCCTCAGAGATCCTCTCTTTTAGGTTGGATACTGCCCAATTTTTATGAATCATTGAATAAAACCATTAAGATCTAAATTTACCAGTCAAATTGTGTTTTTTAATAGAAGTACATAAGATACATTCAGATTTTGATAACTGCTCTGAAAAAGGTGATCCCAGTGGCATATTTGAGATAAATTGGCCTGGAAGTCCTGAGGAGGTGAATTTGAACAGAGACTGAACGACAGACAGGGCCACCATGCAACTAGAAAGGTGTAAGTAGAAGAAAAAGAGTTGTAGAAGTTTGCACGAGTGCTGGCACCACTGTCAACATGGTGGGTGACAGAAGGGGCAGGAGCCAGGCAAGGCCAGACTCTGTAGGGCCTTGTCACCCAAGGTAGAGTTATTTTAAGGGACACAGAAAAGCACTTGAAGGCTTTGAATCAATGGACGTGAATTGGCTTGTATTCCAACAAGGTTCTTTTGGCCACTGGTGGGTAGTGGATAAATTTGGAGGTGACAGGGAGTGGCTGCAGGGAAGCTAGCCCAGGAAGTGTGGTCCAGGCCAAATGTAGTAGAGTGACAGGTCAGCAACTAGATAGGAATGGTCTGAAGACTGAATGAAGGGTGAAGGGAAGACACTGTGTCCAGATTAATCTTTGTATTAGTCCTGATGTAAACAGGAGCAGAAAAATAGGGTAACAGAGTGAAAGGGAGTGAGATAGAGTCTTTTAAAGATGGGAATTACTAGAGCATGTTTGCTGCTAAGAATGATTCAGTAGAGAAGGAAATAGGATGATGAACAAATGAGGGTGATAATGAGGAGAGAAGTCTGAAAAAAGATGCAAGAAAGTGGAAGGATTGGCTTCCGAGACAAGAACTAGGAAGACAAAGGACATGAACATGGTTGCAGACAGGTGTATAGAAGCGCATACTAAAGTTTTTAAGAAGTCTTGAAAAATGAGGAACATGCTCACCTTTAGAGCAGCAGCCCCATAACTTACTTGAACACAAAAGCCTTTATTCACTTAACTTCTCAGTCTTTTGTAACCCTTGTAGAGCAGAGTGGTTCCAAACTGAAGATTGGAGCCAGACTGCCCAGATTCAGGTTCTGGCCTCACCACAGGCTGGTGGAATAGCCTGAGCAAGTTACTCAGCATCTCTGTGCCTCCATTTGATCACAAGAGGGGAGAACAGTTTTTTACCAAATAAAGTTGTAAAAACTCTGTGAGCTCATACAAAGCACTTAGTGCCTGGTATAGAGTAAGCACTCAGTGAATCTTGTTACTAAGTCAACACAGAACCCCCTAGATTTGGCAGTAGGTATTCTTTGAAGGGTTTTAGGAAGGGTGCCTGATCATTACTTTGGCTGCACCATCTGCCCCTCCTCCACT